CAGTGATGGCGAACCTATGACACGTGTGTCAGAGGTGACATGCGAACTCATTTTTTTTGGTTGATTTTTCTTTGTTAAATGGCATTTAAATATATAAAATAAATATCAAAAATATAAGTCTTTGTTTTACTATGGTTGCAAATATCAAAACATTTCTATATGTGAGACGGCACCAGAGTTAAGTTAGGGTTTTTCAAAATGCTGACACGCTGAGCTCAAAAGGTTCGCCATCACTGGGTTAGAGTATGGTCCGGCGCTGACACATGGAGCTGGGGCAGCTTCACGAGGACCCCAAACTCCCGCTGTGACCTGGGATGGCATCGCTGCTTAGAGGCGGAAGGCCAGGCCTGCTGTGGGCACAAGGGCACAGGGCGTGTGCTTCTCGGCAATAATAGCAAGGAACTGTCACCTATCAGACGCTCGCTGTGTGTTTGCCATGGGATCGTGTCTTCTTTTCCCAGCCACTGCTCTTCCCGCTGGTCCTCCCTCTACCTCACCCCAGCCCAACCCCCAGCATCCTGGACCCAAACTCTGAAACTAAGTTCCCAGGGTAGAGACGGACAACCTAAGGCTGGAAAAAGACAGGCATTCTTTTACCTTGGGAGGAATTAGGGGTGCGGGGCATTACCAAGTGTTTATGACTTGTCAGCCGCTGCTCATTCATATGAGATTGATAGTAACGCATTACGGCGGCCTGAATTATTAGAAGCAGCAGGGCGGCCTTCGGAAGGGAGCGATCCCAGAGAGAGCTGTCCTGCCCACCCCACCCCGCACAGTGCCCACCCCTCCCCAGCCCTGGTCTAGATTCACCACCTCCCGGACAGAGAGGGGGTCCCGCAGCCACAGGGGATCTTGTCCTCTCCAAAAGCCACTGTTCAGTGCTGCATCCTCACAGTGTGTCTCATAATTAAGTAGCACGTCTAAGCAGAGAAAGCCTGGCGCCATCCAGCTAGGGGAGGGGAGGCGCCGCCTTCTCTGGCGCTGAAGTGGGGTCCCAGTGGCATCCCCAGCATGGGTGCCCCTGAGCCTGTGGGCACATCCTCAGAGGCGCAGAGCTCTGTCCGCTGTGGTCCAGCAGAGGCCTCGTGGACCCTGCCACACACCCCCTCAGCCTCACTGCCCCACAGAGTGTGCAGCAGGCGCCCTCCAGGGCCTCTGCCAGCGCCCCCTGGGCCTCTGTCGGAAGGGATGCAGCTAACCCTTGAGAGAACGGAGAGTCCATTTTCCACGTTTCATTTGCTCTTAAAGTGACCTGCCTCTCCACACCTGTGGGCAACGTCGCCAAGGGTGCGCTGAGCACGCACGTACTTCAAAGCCACGTCTGCGTCTATATTTTGGTTTGAAATCAGTTTGTCAGCCATTGATTTGATCACCTAAAATGTGCCAGGAATCATTCCGTTTTGAAAACCTTGGAATGTGATCATTCGAGCCGGGTTATGCCTTCCGCTTAGGAGAATGTTATCAAGAGCGTGCATCTTCTGCCCTAGCCGGTTTGGCTCAGTGGATAGAGCATTGGCCCGTGGACTGAAAGGTCCCTGGTTCGATTCCTGGCCAAGGACATGTACCTCAGTTGCAGGCTTGATCCCTGGCCCTGGTTGGGGCGTGTGCTGGAGATAACACATAGATGTTTCTCTCTCTGTGTCTCTTCCCTTCCACTCTCCCTTCCACTCACTCTAAAACTCAATGGAAAAATATATCCTGGGGTGAGGATTTAAAAAAAAAAAAAAAAGCTTGCATTTTCTGAGCAATACTGGTGGAATGTTTAGGCTGGGGGGGGGGGGGGGGGGGGGGCGACGATAGAGAGGAAGGAGGAGCCCAGGCATCCATTCCGTAGCTGGCAGGTGCCCTTTCCACAGGTCAGAGCGACAGGCAGGCCTTTGGGAGCCAGCAGTGCTTCTAAGAGGGCCCGGTCTTCAGATGTCTATTGAGACAGTCAGCCATGAAGGAATTTTTCTGTTTTTCCTAAAGACGAGATAAGAACTTGAGTGCAGATGCAAAGAATTAGAGGGAGACATTTGGGAAGAAAATACCTGGATGCGTTTTTCTAAGACATCTGTGCAGTGGCTTTCTCTAGAAGACCAGAGGGGACAGCTTCCCCTTCCCAGACCCTGCTGCCCAGGGACAAGGGACAGCATGGGGGCCCTGCCCGCCCAGCACAGCTTATCTTGTTCCTCCCACCTTGACATTCTGATAAGGGAGCTATTCTCGTCCCTGGAGCCCAGCTGGCAGCGGCCCTTGCCAACAGCCGTGTTAAGTTAAATGTCAGAACCAGACCCTCAGCACATGACCCTGGGGAACCCAACCGTGTGCCAACGTGGGTTCCATTATCATTCCAGACCCGAGTGAGCCAGAGGCAAAGGCCGTGGCAGGTGGCAACAGCACCTCCTAGTCACCAAGGGTCAACCCATCTGGTGGCCAGAGGCTGGGTGGGGGTGACAAGGGACATGGAGGGGGAGGGACAGGAGCAATCATGACAAGCGCCCAGTCGCTCACACTCATCCGCTGTGACCCGCTTGTCGGGGCCACTCCTCTGCATCTTGTCTTATCATCTTCTTAACAGGGCCTTTTATGGAGCAAATGTTTTTCATTTTGATGAGGCCCAAATTTATCAGTTTTTTCTTTTATGGGTCAGGTTTTCAGTCTAAGAACTCTTTGCCTGCTGTTGATCTCATAGTTTCTGCCATATTTTTCCCTAGAAGTTTCATCGTTGTATTCTTTACATTTAAGTCCATGATCCACTCTGAGTTAACTTTTATATAAAGTCTGAGGCTTAAAGGGTCAAGGTTCACTTTCTTTGTCCATCCTCTGGTACCATTTGTTGAAAAGACTGTCTTTCTTCCACTGAATTCCCTTTGCACTTTTGTCAAAAATCAATTGAGCATATCTGTGAAGGTCTATTTCTGGGTTCTCTGTTCTTTTCATTGATCTATATATCTGTCCCTTTGCCAATACCATAGAGTCTTTATCACTGTAGCTATAGAATGCTTTAAAATCAAGTAG